GCACCGCAGTTGCCCAAGGACTGGTGCCGTCAGCTCAAAGTCCGTGCAAGTGACTGGACGACGCAGCGTGCGCCCAGGTGCGCACGATCGCCACCTTCAACGAGATGAAGGACGCCTACACGAACGTCATACGGCCGGCGGACATGGTGGATCGGCTCGAAGGCGCGACGGAGGTGGCTGCGGCGGGCCACGTGGGCCCCGGTGTGGAGGCGCGGTCGCCCGTCGTCTCTGCGTCGTGGTACAAGGAGAACTGGTACCTGGAGGTGAAGTGGACGTGCTACACGGCGGGCGACTACACGCTGGAGCTGTTGTACAAGGTGCTGGTTTCTTCCACTCGTGTGTTCTCTCTGCTCGTGAGATTGGCGGAGCGTTTCCGGCCGCAAAAGCGCCTCTGGGGTGCCCGTTCGAACTGGTTTTGAAGATTTCCGTGTTTTGCAGTAGTCGAAATTGGGAAAAATTAGATTGGATGGAATCGAGATGCACCTGCACAGCGTCCTGAAATGGGATGGAATCGTGACACCAGCGCTTGCAGTTCAACCTTGTCTCTTTGGATCCAATTTCCATCGGCACCGCGGAGAACGTAGAATGCAGGTTTGCTTTGGCTTTGCAGGGTGGTCAATTTCCAGCACCGTTGCCCGCCACCGCGCCTAAGCAATCAGCTAATGCACATTTAAGCGATTGACATTTCCCGCAAGGTGGATCCCAGAACATCGGAGCGCCTGCGGCTGCTCACGGGCGGGCGCATCGCCTACGCCACCAACGTCACGTGCTCCCCTGGGCCCGTGGACCCGGCGGGCTTCGCGTTCACCTACGAGGCCAGCCAGGCGCCCCACGCAGCTGAGAACGCCACCGCTTTCCTCCACGCCCTCGACGCCCAGGGCAACGCCGCCTTCCTCGTGACCGACTACGCCTGGTGGTCGTTCTACGGCATCCAGAACCAGACGGTGGACCTGGTGCAGGCGTCTTTCCTGCACGGCGGCTGCAACTGTACGGAAAACGGGACGCTGTGGATGGAAATGCACCCGGAGGTTCCTGGTCTGGTTGCGATGACCTTCTCCTCGCCCCTGGCGGGCAACCACACCCTGCGGGCGGGGTCGAACGCTTCGGACGCCGTGATGGTGCGCTTGGACGTGGTGGTGCAGCCGTGGGAGCCCGACCCCGGCGTGAGCGAAGTGCAGGGGGGGGGATTTGCAGGGGCGGCTGGGCCCGCGCTGGTTGCCGGGGAGGAGGCTGCCATCCCCGTGTCCCTGAGGGATAGGTACGGCAACCCGCAGAAGCATGGGGCGCATGTTTGTTTATGAGCGCATGTGCTCTTCTAGGGGTCTTTCAAGGAGCTGAGGGGCCGCCAATGGCTCTCGAAAGACGCATGTGAGGTCCTTCTTGCCGCCTGCAGCAAACAGATTGCTTTGACGTCGGCAAAAGTCCATATCCTGGGTATCGAACGAGATATGGTGTGCCAATTATATCTTGAGTATCGAAATTGGGATATGGGCACCATGTATTGGATATGCATATTAGCATAACCAGGATATGCAATACGAACGCCCCATGTCCGCGATAGGAAGATTGCACTACTGGATATGGCGACGATATGGCCGAGGATGTGGCGGCTTCTCAGGATATGGGCACTCGTATCCAGGGATATGGCAATATCCGGGATATTTATTCAGGATATGCAACACCTTTCCGGCGTACATACATGGATGGACCCAAGAAGCGATGTGTGACTTGTCTAAGCGCTGAGCGGCAATGAATGGAGGAAATTAGCTCATTACTTTTGATAACATGCAGTGCACATGGTCGTGGTCCGAACCTGACACGGAAGTGAAGAAAGATTCATTTTGACTGCGGAAATCAAATGGTGGAACTATTTGGCTGATTTGTCGATTGATGGATGAAGGGAACGAGACATGATGATTGGCTGATTCAATTGAATGGTTGGTTGGCAGGTATGGGAACCCATCAAAAGGTGCGCCAGCGCTCCTGCTGGCGGTGGCGGCATCGGTGAATGACCCAGGCAGGCCAGCGGTCGTCATGGACGAGAGGGAGCATCTCTCGGGAGGATCTTACCGACTCGCCATTCAGGGACTCAGACGCGCAGGGCAGTACGTGGTGAATGTCACGTACGGCAACGTCACGCTGAGCAACGGCGTCCTGTGGGTGGATGTGGTGCACGCGCCAGTCGTGAGCGACGTGCAGAGCTACGTCGATGGGACAGGCATCGGGGTCGAGATAGGACAAGAGGGGAATCTGAATCGAAGCGACTGGGCCCAGGCTGCTGGGCGCAACCTGAGCGTGCTAGTTCAGGCGAGATTCTGCCTTTCTCCCCGCTCGGAGGAATTCTGTGGATTTTCCCTTGTATTTTTCAAATGGATAGTGTGCAGGGCGCTGCTAGTCTCCTACTCAATGCAGTGATTAATCCATTGATTGATTGGTTGATAAATTGTTGGCTGACTGATTGATTGACTGACTCATTGTTTGACTGACTTATTGATTGATTGATCGGTAAATTGATTCATTCCTCAATTGACCCCAGGCGAGAGACCAATACGGCAACCCCCACGTGCACACCCGCCCGGCCTTCACCACGAACCAGGACTTCCGCGACGCCTGCGACGCCTTCCGGGCCGCCGACCTCGGAGACGGCTTCACCCGCTTCCACTTCTCCATCAAGCGCACGGGCAACTACTCCCTGGCCGTGTCCACTGCCGAAAATCGCACGGTGTACCGATCTGTGCTCGAGATCGTGCCCGCGGGCGTGTCGCACCTCAACTGCCGCGCCTTCGGATTCCGCAACACCACCGTCGGCTTCCGGGGCGTGGGCTACCTGCTGGTGGCCGACAGGTTCGGGAACGCCTACGACGACGGCACCAGGGCCCTCGCAAATCTGTCCGCCTTTTCCGTCACTTTCAAGGAAGAAAATCAGCCGTACTTCATCCAGGGCGTTGCGGGCGCCATAGGGGAGTACGACGCGTGGGAAGGGGGGTACGAAGTGTCGTACAACATCACAGAGGCGGCGGTTTACGCCGTAAGCGCCCGGTGGGTGAGCTGGTCGGTTCCGGGCTCAGGCGACCGGGTGTCTCTCCTGCCGAACCGAGCCTCCCCGGCGAAGTGCGTGCTGGCTCCCCCTGGGGCCATGGGGGGGGAGGCGGGGGGCACGTGGGCGCTGGTGTTGAAGGGCTACGACAGGTTCGGGAACGGGGCCGCGGACGAGGACATGGCGCCGTGGACTAGAGTGGCGCTGTCGCGCGACGGGAGGGCGGTTGGGGTGGAGGGGCTGGTCGAGTTGCTGGACTTGGACGGCGCGTCGCTGCGGGTGGCTTTGGCGCTGAGGGCGGCGGGGAGGTACGACGTGGTGGTGCTTGTCAATGGGACGCAGGTGCGGCGGTGAGAAACCCGTTGTGGGCCCTTCTGGCATGTTTATGAATTTCAGCAACAGCCTACATACGACGCTGTTCAACTTACTGCACGAGTATTTGCAACATGCTACCTGACAACCTGGTAGCTCTTAACACAATTTGTTGCAGTGCTGGAATGGTACAAAGGGCAAGGTTTTCGGCAAAGACAATGAAAATAATTCTAATTGTACAGTTTGATCAGCATCAGCCTATTGACTTAGTGGCATCCGGAATCTACCAGAAGTTATTGAAAGCTAACAAAGCTGAATACCTATAACCCGTATGGAAATTTGTACGAGGCCACACTGATTCTTCCTAATATTGCAATCAATGTGCAGGGGCACGTGAATGCTCTAAAAATGATCTTTAAAATATGGAAATCAAACTCAATTATCAGAGTATATTGAGCTTAGTGACTTCAATCCGTAGCTGCACGAATTTAGAGATTGTTGTGGGCAAATATCGCAAGTTTAGATGGTTCTTACATCATATTTCAATGAAATATCCAATGCAACTCAGTAAATTGCGGGTATATCGCACTCATGCCTTCTGAAACGCAAGCGCAAAAGCCTGCGGTACGTTCGGATTTCGCAACTAAAATTCAATTACAAATTTACATAGCTTGGGAATTTAGGCTTTGTAGCAAAACGGAATGCGAGCGTCACACCTGCATCCTTTTACCTGTTCTGACATAGATCTTACACGACCTTGTATGAGCACTCTTGTTTCTGCGAACTTATGCGCCCTCAATTGCAGAGATGGTGAAAGCCATGGCTTTTTAGGTGCGGGGGTCGCCAGTCCGGGGAATTCGAGTGGAGCCAGCTGGCTTCAGCCCGTCGGCCAGCGATGTGTCAGGAGATGGGCTTTCAACAGGAATCGCCGGCATGTGGAATGAGGTGACAGCGGGTCCAATCGCGTCGACTTCAAACACATGAAATGCGGCAAAAAACTGTCCTGGCAACTTCAAGATCATTGTTCATGGTTGCGCGGCTGCACAGTTACGGTTTGGCTCCACATCTCAATCGCTGGCAACAAGTATCCTTAAATGCATTGCTGTTCTTGCGCATCATGGTCTTTTGAGCGCTTTGCGCAACAGAAATGCCTTGCACCGCGATTCCCAACAAATGCCTCCGAAATCTCAGCGGCATCATCCCGAATCACAAATTGTCAACCGGCAACACGCACACAAAAAGAAGCTTGTGTCTCTGCAGGTAACGGTAGAGCCTCGAGACGAATACGGCAACATGTTGAAGGGGGGCCACATGAACGGCAAGTTGAGTCTAGAAGTCATGGGAGCCACCGATCTGGGGATAACTTCGTTCCCGGATGTTGGCAACGAGACACGGTACACAGCGAGGTACATGCCCACGCAACCGGGGGTGTACGCGCTGAGTGTTATTGCAGATGGGATGCCCCTGCCAGGATTTCCCGCCCAGGTCAGTACGATCTAACCAATGCATGCATTTATGAAATTTGGGTTTTTTCGTGAGCATGTGGCCGTTTGTCGTGTGGTACCCTCAATTTGCCGCTCCCCACAAACTCGCGTCGATACACCTCTCTGCGCATAACGGAGAGCGTCTTCAGGTTCCGTACCGCTCTGCACTTTGGCAGAAAGAATGCCCTTGCACTCTCTTCATAGGTTACATAAGGCCCGCAGTTTTGTGATAGGACGGGGGAGGCACCTGGACGCTGAGGTGTGATGCAATCTTTGCAGCAAAAACGAAAAGTCCTTCATACCGATTCGACGCCGCGGCTGGGGTACCACGACGATTAAAGTGTGCCCTTGTGCATTTGCCTCCGCCAACGCCCTGCTGTTTCCTTTGCCTCACGGGTTTGACACATCAGTTTACCAACGGTAACCGCTTAACGAGGCCGACCTCTGGAGACATTTCAGAAAACGGGCGCTGTGGCATCGCAAACTCAATTGACACCTGGCAGATGATGACGCAAGCTACGCCCCCAGGGCATTCGTATTTTACACATCCGAATGCGTCCGTGTGTACAGAGGTCAAAGATACTACAAATACTGCCATTCCTGTCATTCGACCATCTCTTCATGTCCATATGTTGGATGTTGCGAAATCGTTTTCCCGACGCCAATCAGGTCGAGGTTATCGCCCCCGGGGACATCCCAACGTCAGAATGTCGCTTCGGCGTCCTGGGTACGCCGGACTGCGGAGCCCATGGTTCCTTGAGGTCCTGCCGCTGCGAATGCGACCCAGGATGGAACACCAGTCTGGCAGGCCAGAGCATAGTAAACTTCACCTATTGCAATGAAGAGGTGCCACTGCAGTTGGACAGCGACAGGGGAGAAGTGCCAGATGGGGACGATTCTAGACAGGTGAAGGGCTCCGCGTGCATGTGTGCATACTTTTGACACAGTTGTGTGGAAAGTGGCACCATATATGATCCAATTTGCCATTTTGCCAATTTGCCAATTTGCCACGTTCTGTATTGGCAGTACATTGTGGATATACACAAACGCTCGTCACCAGTTTTGATTTAATTTTTCTCGTTTGCTTAGTTGTTGTATGATTTATTTGTTCATCTATTCAGAATGTGTGTACCATTGATGCATTTGCGCAATCATTTATCAGGGTTTGCACACGGATACAATCCGTGGAAAATTGCCCTTTTTCGACGGAGAACCTCTCAGCGGCGAAAACTGCAGCGGGCAGCACGGCTGATGCTGCCTGATTTCCCCCTTTCTGGACGCTTGAATCGTCGTTGTGCAGAATCTGCGGCAGGCCGGCGCGTTTCAAAACACGCACCGAACCAGTGAGAGAAAGTCGCATTAAATTAATTCCAATATATTCCATACATCCAACATTAATTCCAACATATACAATGTTGGTGCCTGTGGCAGCGGGTCCTCGAGCCCGAGGACGAAGGGCTGTCGGGAGAGTCCGGGACCCTGTTCCTCGCCGCCCTCGCGGTGGTGGTGTTCCTTCTGATCGCGGCCGCCGCCGTCTGCTGCTGCCTGTGCCGCGAAGGGAATGGGGATGCGGAGGGGAGGGCAGGGCCAGGCCAGGGGGGGTTGGACGCTGCGACGGTGCACGATGCACTGGACGCTTTCGAGCGGTCGGATTTCTTCGCCATCGGGGCAGGCGGCGCAAAGGTGGAGACACCGTCCATGGCTGTAAGGGATCAGGGTGTGTGGAGCTGACATGTGGGGGGTTTGATTTATCGCATTTGCCACCGCTTGAATTCATCAATCTGGAAAGCGTTTGGTGGGGATTGGAGATAGCAAGGCCGCGGGTCCAATGGGCAATCCGCAGGGCCTGCATTGAGAGAGAGGAAAGGCTGTCCCGATGAACAGACAATGTGATGAGGCGCCGGCCCTTCGTCGTTTCGTGGGGAGCTGATCATTTCATGGGGTTCTCCGTGGCGTCCCCGACGCCGTTCAGCCGAGGAGCTTGGATCATGTGGAGCGACAACCAGAGATGCACGGTACGTCGTGTGCACGTGATTTAAGTAATGAAGGAATACTGCACATGGATGCAAGGGAGCAGTGGTGAAATGTCCACTTTGCCTGTGGCAGCGTTTTCACTGAATCGCTTATGGAAGCCATCGCTGCAAGCGCGCACATGATTCAGGCGCAAGGACGGCCGTGTGCATGTTTTTGTGACGTGGAGCATCAATTGAATCCTTTCGCGCAATCAAATAGACTATTGAAACTGTACATGTGCTTACGGCAAGGTGAAATATTTCTTATAATAATGAGGACAATTGACAATATTGATAATGCATATACGCAGTAAGCCTCATGCTCATTCTGGCCGAAGGGAGGTTGAGTACTGAAAACAGCACATGGTCCGATGTTTGTTCCAGAGCGGTTACGTGGGGTACCTCACGTTGATCCCTAGATTGGCTACAGTTGCATTGAACTATTTTGCCACTATGCTTTTGTGTTCACAGCCTCCGAGTCGGCGCCAGTAATATTACTGTAACATATAAAATTACAGCAACATCATAATGCTGCTGCTAAAGCTATGAGAAGACGTGAATAATTTTTCTTGAGAGATCCTTTTGCGCCAAACCATCTGCCGCCTTGCACGCGACAATATCTGTCTCTTCATTGAAATACGGCACCAGCAATACTGTCCAAAACAAAAACTGAATGGTTAAAATAACGCCTGGAAGGACAGACATCCTGGTTAACAAACAGCAACTAGGTCCATTTTTCACAATTTTGATTTGTTATTGCCCCATCCTAATCAATTTAGCTTGAATACTGTACGAGTATAAGGTGCGGAAGTGCCAAAGCTCTTGCCCATTGTGAAAATATTTTTGCAGCGCTGCAAATGCAGTACAATCGCGCCAAACTCACCATATGCAAATGCACAAATTTGGACTGAATGTTTAAAGGGGATTGGACTTACTCAAACCCGGTTGTTTGATCATGGCCACTCCCTAAGAAATTCCTGTTGTTCAAGTCTGGAATATTTGCAGATTGTAGGCTCCATGTGCCAAACAGCTGATTTTAATAACCAAGGACAATGTAGAATCCGAATCTGGAGGATAGAAGGAATTGTTTTATTATAATAGTTTAGCCATTGCATGATTGACACAACATTCAATTTGTTGTGCCAATCAACTTGAATTCGCATAATTTGCACTCACTGAATGCAAATAGATATTGGTAAAATATTGTTCTTTTAACGATATACGGAACACCGAGTTTCTGCATCAAGTGATGAAAGCCAAGCCAATGAGGGCGTTGTACATGATGTTGTAGGCATGTTTCCTGAAGCAAGCGGTGTACCCGCGAGGGATAATTTTGCTACCATAAGCCAAACTCAATGAAGCAATTGAGGTGCTCTGACTGGATGTGGATATAGTGAGGTGTTTGTAACGTAGGGTGAATATTATTGGGAATATCATGTGGACACGACAGACAAAGAAATGAATGGTGCGAGCAAAAAGCCGATGACCAATTGTGTATTGAATTGAGGGAGAAGAAGGCATGATGTCCATTCTT